CAGCTCAGTAACTCGGGATGAATGAATTTGCCATCTCTGGGGCTTTGTAAACCCAGGCTCCATAACAAACCTTTTCCTTATATAACCAGCAAGAGAGTAAATAGTTCAACTTGTAAAAATGCATTACATTTGGGGTCGGATGGACAGCTCAGTGGTCCAGAGTGTATGCTTCTCTTCCAGGGGACCTGAGTTTAGTTATGGCACCAACATTAGGCTGTTCACAGCTGTCTAAAACTCCAGCTACAGAGGGATCCATCACCTTTGGCCTTCAGGGGCACTGCACTCACATGCACACACTCACACAAACACATGCAATTAAAGTGTTAAAAACACTAATTACATTTATTCGTACCTGCGTGAATTTGAATGTGTGTGCACACCACGGGGCATGTGTGGCGGTCAGAGGTCAGCTGTGGGAGTCAGTTCTCTCCCCCCATTATACAAGGACTGAACTCAGGCTGTCAGGCATGGCAGTGAGCATCTTTATCCACCGAACCATTTCCCCAACCCCTAGAGTATCTTTAACGTCACAGCTCTGTGATTTAGTGACATGCTCTTACTTCAGTCGGGGGCCGGCTCTTTCTGTGAAGTGTGACTGGGACTCAGCCACGCTTGCTCATTTGAAGTCTGACAGCTTGCACGTCACAATTGCCAACCTGGCACAGGAGAGCCCTGCACACTGACAGGCCTGAAATATTTACCATTTGACCCAAAGCAAAGTTAGCCGGTCCGGACGTTTGTGGTTTCTTTGATGGCTTGAGCTGTATGCAGAATTCATGAAGCAATCATGACAGGACAAAATGCTAGTCAAATGTCAGCTGGTTTCTTTTCTGGACCTAGCAAACAAATAGTTCAGATTTCTGCACCTGTCTCTCACTCCAAATGTACGCTCGTGTTTGCCAACCTAAGAACTGCTGAATGTACCGACTTCAAAGCTATTGCTATTTCAACAGTAACCGCAAAGGGCAAAGAAAAAAGGTTTTCTCAGTGTTGCACTGTTAGCAGTTAAGAGCGTTAATTTAGCTGTAGGAATCCTGTCCCCTTATTAATTAGGAGGAATTAAGTTTTCTGTTCCCCATTTTTCCCAGTGTCCTCAATTTCAAGTTTACAAAATGCCAATCTGCTCTTTACATACTCCAACTATGTACATAGTCTAAATACTTTCTTTAAAATTTATTTTATGCTTATTGGTGTTTATACTTATGTATGTCTGTACGTCACGTATAGGCCTTGTGTCCAGGGATGTCATTAGAGTGTAACTCCTGGAACTGGAGTTACAAAAGGTTGAGAGCTACCATGTGGGGGCTGAGAATTGAACCTGAGTCCTCTGTAAGAGCAGTCAGTGCTTTTAACCACTGAGCTACCGCTCCAGCCTCTAAATATTTTCTAATATATTATTTCAGAATCCTCTATTCTAAGCACTGAACACTCCCAGTAGGTATAGCCTGAACTTAAAAAGCTACTAACAGGCTGGGTGCAGAAACTACACACTTGTTGCCCCAGCATTTGGAAGAAAGAGGTAGCAGAATTCAAAGTTCAAGGTTCACCAGGATTGCCTAGCAGCAAGGCTCCATTTCTAAAAGAAGCCACTTATTAAAACAGGGTTTCCTTGGCTGTCCTGGAACTTGCTCTATAGACCAGGCTGGCCTTGAACTCAGAGATCTGCCTGTGTCTGCCTCCTGAGTGCTGGATTAAAGGTGTGAGCTGGCACCACCCGGCCCATTACGTTTTTTTTATTTTTATTTATTTTATTTTATTTTATTTTTTTTATTTCAGCCTGAACATACAATAATCTCCAGTAGCAACCACACTTGTTCTCTAGGAGAAGCACACAAATACTAAAAGTTTCCTAAGACTTGGCAAGCTATCTAGATACCACACTGAAACTTGAACCTAAACTTCTCCATTTGGTAAGATACTGACTGGTCCAGGCTATTTTTTGATAATGAATTTAAGTGGTTTTTGTTGTTTGTTTTCAAGCAGCCTAGGCTGGCCGCAAACTACAGTTCTTGTTGGGATCATAGGTGGGTGCCGCCGTACTTGCCTACTTAGTGCCTAATCCTCGAGTCTGACTACATCAGGACCAGCATGCTACCTCATCACTTCTGGAAACTTAAGACTAACCATCAGTAGTCATAACAGTGCCGGGTTATTCCCCTTGACAGGCAGTCTACTACCCTAACCCCACAGCTGAGAACTAATTCAGAGGGTCAGCTATTCAAAGATGTGCATCTCAAGCACCAGAACCAGACCCCGAAGCCAAATCTACCCCTCTTCAGGGGCAGTGTTCACAACCACGGTGTTACACACTGCACACTTGCAACTGGGGAGTGGATGTAAGTGACTACACAGCACACCAAACAACGGTTAAAAACATAGATCCTGTCTGGGTAAAGATGATGGACTGAACACAGGAATTAATAGAGTATGTCCACTCTCTCCTGAAATTCCACTCAATAACAGTAAAGGGTTTTGTCCATTTTATGGTTAAAATCTCAAAGGATAAAAGACGAGACAACACAGTTTCAAAAAGCTGTAATCTGGAAAGCAAAAAGCCAGCAGTAGGAAAAGAAAGAATCCCACAGCACAGAATCCCCAAGTCTCGGGAACTGGTAGTTTCAGGTACCTTTGCAAGTGGGCAGAGCGAAGAGAGACCAAACTAAGAACTAGGCAGTGAAGGTCTAAGTTATCAGATGCGGTCTGCAACCCGATAGGGCTAAGTAACCTCTACAAGACGGCCATCCCCTCTGCTCTGGACCTCACAGCAGCCCTCCTGCATCGCTTGACTCCCAGGATCCCAGCAAGGCCTTCATTCTTCATGGACAAGATTGGAAGAATGTTCTCCTAGCAATGACCAGCTTAATATAAAATACCTAAAGATATGGACACAGACCTTCCTCCCAATTAAATACCTCAAAAGAGTTCCCTTAGGAAGAGTCTAAGGACAACAAGCTCCGCCCTCTCAGTCTAACAAAAGTGAAGTGTCTAACATGAAGAAAAGCGGACGACAGCCACTTTAGACAACAGACGAGGAAGGCAAAGAGAACACAAAAGATGTATGTTGTTCTACAAAGAGACAGGGAAAACAGGGAAGGAAACCACCAATAAAAATACACTAAATTGCTGGGTGGGGTGCAAGCATCTAATCCCAGCACTCAGGAGACAGAGGCAGGCAGATCTCTAAGTCTGAGGCCAGCCTGGTCTACACAGTGAATTCCAAAACAGTCAGGCTACACAGAGAAACCCTGCTCGAATAACAAACAAACAAACACGGGCTGGAGAGATGGCTCAGAGGTTAAGAGCACTGACTGCTCTTCCAGAGGTCCTGAGTTCAATTCCCAGCAACCATATGGTGGCTCACAACCATCTGTAATGAGATCTGGTGCCCTCTTCTGGCCTGCAGGCATACATGCAGACAGAACACTTTGTACATAATAAATACATTTAAAAAACAAAACAGAAAAACAAAAACCAGCTGAACAAACAAACAAACACAAACACAGAAAACAAAACAAACAAACCTCAAAACTTATGAGAACTACTAGATGGTATGTTTCAAGTTTTAACAGGGTGACCTAGTGCCCAGCACAGTGAATTAAATACACACACACTGGAGTGTGTCCCTGTGGAATGGAAGACTACCAGCACAAGAGATCCTTGTTTCTCAGAGAGAAAAATTAGGCCTCACAGAAAGACCAGGAGTCAGAATGGTTTCGGATTTCAGACTCAACCCACAGCCAATGTCTCAATGCCTTAAAATCCTGAAGCATGAAGGTTTCAAGCCAAAAATCTACATTCAGCAAAGAATCAAACGTGTGACTATAATAAAATAATTTTCAGGTCAGAAAGGTCTAAAAATGTTTACTCCTATTCACTAGTCAGGGCTCCATGAAAACAAACATTAGCAAATGAGACCCAACACGGAACAAGAAAAGGCTGTTCCCAAGTTACAGCCACACACAGCCCAGAGAGGAACAGCAAGGCCCCAGGGAAGACGCCCTAGGGAAGACTCGAAGACGGGGTGCCTGACCAAACCAAATGATGTAAACAATTTTGGTACCTGGTGAAAAGTTAATTTAGTGGAAAGTTCACAGGAAAACTAAACCTAGGGGTTAAAAGGGAAAGTCTGTAGGAACAGAAAAACCATTGGTCTAGCCAGTCACACGAGGCTGCACACAGGAAGACGGGGTGACAAACATGTATGATGATCGGTCTAGAAAACTGACAGAAACCCATGTCCCAGCGATCCACCCAGCAGCGAGCGAGCAGGCGGGCAGTAACTAAAACAGAAATCACGACAGCACCGTGATGTTACTAAGACACACGCTGGTGGAGCTGGAGAGATGGCTCAGTGGTTAAGAATGTCGCTGGTCTTACAGAAGGCCCAGCACCCACACGACAGTTCTTAACCACCTGCAACTCCAGTTCTAGGGAATCCAGTGTCCTCTTCTGGCCTCCACGGGCACCAGGAACCCACATGGTACATACATCCACGTAGGCAGACACACACATACATAAACTAAAAACAATGTTAAAAACAAAGCCCACATATAGTAGTTAAAGAGGCGAGCCTGGTTAGAGGCTGTGGAGGACCGCCCCCTTCAGCCAACAAAGCTAGAGAACAATTTGATTTTAAACTACAGCATTTTTCCTTTCACTGTGTTTGCATTTTCAGCATGAAGCAGTGCGTTGTAGTTCATTAAGACTTTGGCAAAGAAGCATAATGAACGCTACATAAAGTTCAAAAGAAACTCACCATAGGCGCAATAGTCTCAATATTGCAGCAGTTTCACTAGTGATGGCCAAAGTGGGACAAAAAAACAAAAATAAAAAACCAACCAACCAAACAAACAAACCCACCAAAACCCAAGCTTTTTTCATCAGAATGTTTATTAAAAATATAGACTGACGGTTCTGTGCTCAGATGTCATTGTGGATGTATGTGGACTCCAGTACTCTTCACAAATACACTTGAAACAGAAGCTGTAAACAGAAATGACTGCCAAGACAGTGCCGTTCAGACCTAACCCCTTAGAGTTCGACACTTTGACAATTCCATCAACACTCACAGAGGTGGCTATCACAGGCCTGAGGGCGCACTGTGACACAAGACATCTTTTGTGCACTTCTCAAATAGTTTTATATTTCAGCTATGAAGGTCGGTTCCCAAAGCTCAACTTGTTCTTAACAAGTGGAGTTTTTATGTCCATTGCATCAGTCTTACAGCTTTCTGGGCCAATTCATCTGCAGACAGGAGGAGAAACTGTCGTCAGGTCTCTTCATGCCATGCATCCATGGGACTCCCATCCTCATATGCTGTCCAGCTTCTTTAAGATATACGGAGCTGAAAGAAAAACCCCAGAGTAGGTTTCATTCTATGAGTCCACAGGCTGTACTGCAGAATTACAAAACTGGGGTGAAAAAGAAAAAACTTGACGAAATATGGTTTTGGAAACAACTCCTAAATGGTGACCAAGCCTCTCTCTACCTGTACCATAAACCAAAGGGAGTCACGGACCTTGCAAAGCAGCCCACCCAGTCTCACTGGGTTACCACTGGCGTAGAGCACATCCCACCCTACTGCACTTTCCTCCAGGACTATAATAACTCCACGGTCCTTTACTCTGGGGACCTTTTCCTTAGTTCACCAAACCGGGAGTTGAACCCAGGGCCTTGCACAAGCCAGGCAAGCACGTTACCAAGGTATACCTCTAGCCCTGGGGATTTATTTAACCTAAACAGAACAAAATCCTAGAGGAAACAAATGGGCATTAGGTTCAATTCCCAATCCTGGGAAAACTAACACCTGGGAGGCATAGGGTCGGAAACCCTGGGGAAGGTGAGTGGGAGGGCAGACACCCCCTGCTTTCTCTGATTCTACCGATCACTGCGCTGGTTTGTCAACGGTGTACCAAGAGCTGTCTGGAATACTAAGTGACATTAGGAGAAGCGGGAGATGACTTGGCAGTTAGGCCTGTCTGCTGTAAATGAGGACCCGAGTTCAGATCCCAGCATCCGCACCTGGCAGTTTACAGCAGCCTGTTTAACTCCAGTTCCAGGGGTTCCAACACCCCCTTCTGGATGGTGCAGGCACCTGCAGGCATGTGGTTCACACACGGACAGGCAGACAAATAAAAATCTTTAAAAAGTGATACATTGGTGAACATCAGCCGGGCGGTGGTGGTGGTGCACGCCTTTAATCCCAGCACTCGGGAGGCAGAGCCAAGCGGATCTTTGTGAGTTTGAGGCCAGCCTGGTCTTTACACAGAGAAACCCTGTCTCGAGAAAAAAAAAAAAAGTGATACATTGGTGAACATCAAATACAAAGTCCACTAAGGAACATTTTCTTGGCAGCTCTTCTGTAGGAAATGGTTAAGAGGGTGGAAAAGGTGAAGCGGTTTCAGGAGGCTGTGGACGAGCAAGATTTGGGTGTTTCTGCTCTCCAAGACGGCCTCTCCAATACAGAGAGAACACAGCAAACGAAGAACCCAATGAGGAAGGCCTAAAGCCTTTAATTTTTTTTTTTTCTTCGAGACAGGGTTTCTCTGTGTTGTTTTGGTGCCTGTCCTGGATCTCGCTCTGTAGACCAGGCTGGACTCGAACTCACAAAGATCGGCCTGGCTCCACCTCCTGAGTGCTGGGATTAAAGGCATGCGCCACCACCAACCGGCGAGAACTAATATTTTTAAAATCTTTTGTTGTTGTTTTGTTTTTCTGAGACAGGGTTTCTCCGTGAAATAATCCTGGCTGTCCTGGAACTCAACTCTGTAGACCAGGTTGGCCTTCGACCTCTGCCTCCCAAGTGCTGGGGAATTAAAGGCGTGTGCCACTACTGCCTGGCAATAAAAAGATTTTTAAAACCTGGCGGTGGTGGCGCACACCTTTAATCTCAGCACTCAGGAGGCAGAGGCAGGAGGATCTCTGAGTTCAAGGCCAGCCTGGGTTACTCGGAGAAATCCTATCTGAACACCGCCCCCCCCCCCAAAAAAAAAACATTTTCTTGTGTGTAGTCTGTGGTGTATGCACATGTTCGTGCATACCTTGGTGCAGGTGTGGAGGTCGGAGTACAACTTCCAGAAATTGGTTCCCTCCCGCCATGTGGATCCAGTTCAGGTTGCCCAGCTTGGCGGCAAGTGCCTTAGCCCAGTGAACCATCTACTTTCTAATCTGTCAGTCTGTCTTTAACCCCGATGTGCCTCTTGAACTCAAGCTCTCGCTTGTAAAAGGAAGAGATCAAGTAACGAAATTAACTTTTTTGTCAATGGTGAAATCGAATACTTCAGGTATTCTCAGTAGCTCTACAGACGCCTATCTTTCTCTTTCCATCTTTCAGAAAAAGGAAAACCAACTATTTACTTCACCCTCTGCACACATAAACACGAAGAAAGCAAGTCTTTTCGGATTTCAAAGGCAAGCACCAAAGGAAAGCGTCTGGTTCCTAGTTAAGAGCTGGGGATTCTACGTCAGGTTTATTCTGAATCGCCAAATGACCTTGGGTCAGCCACTTTCCAGGGACCGTTCCTAGGTTTGCCGAACGAGGGTACTGCTCAAGGGTCAGCACCTGAAGGTCCTTAAGCACAAGCGTCGGGTTGGCAAAGGTGACTTAGCCACGCGCCCTCGGCCACCACGAGCACTTGGCACCGTCTCAGGACCCTCAGACCCCTTGAGGGCAGGCAGCTGGGCCGCCCTGGACATGCATGCCGCCCACCCTCCCCAGGATGCTCAGCTCAAGGACCCAGGAGCGCGTGCAGGGGTGGGGTGGACGCGTGGCCTCACGGCCACGGCCCCGAAGGACACTCACTGACTCGCAGCAGGGCCACATAGATGAGGAAGTTCCGAATGGAGGAGATCACATCCTCGCGCATCTTCCGCTTCATCTCCTCGGGGTCCAGCTTCGGCGCGAGACCCTCGATCCGGAACATTGCGGCTCTTTCTCCAAAGCTGGCAGGCGCTGCACCTTGCTCTCCTCCAGTGGCCGCCTTGCACCCGAACTGAGCCAGACTCCACTTCCTGTCCCACCCCTCGTTTCCGTCCTGCGACAGGAACCTGCGAGGGACAATCCTCATCCGGGCCGCGTGCGTCTGAAGCAAGGAGACCAGAAGGGGGCGGCCGCAGTCTTAAATCTCGGAGCCCTCCCTGGTGGATCCCGACTGTTTCTTAGATAGTCGCGGGGCTGCAATCGAGAGTGCCACCTGTAAAGTTGTTTTATGCTGTCCAGTAGGGAGGTGTGTGCATATGTACCACCATAAATAATAATAGCTAGCATTTATGGAGTACCCAAGACAGTACTTCGTGAATTGCACATTATGATCTTCATTTCTAGATTTGTAAATTAAAACGCTGCAGCCTGAAAAAGTTAGTTGAGAATATAACTCATTTGCCAAAGCGTTTACTTAGCATGCAGGAGTCCTGGGTTCGAGTCCTAGCACCGCATAAACCTCGTGAGGTAGCTGTTAGTCTATAGTCTATTTTCTCTAGTGATAAACACCATCAAAGCAACTTGGGAAGGAAAGGGTTTATTTTACCTAACCTGTTACAGTCTATCATCCAGGGAAGCCAGGGCAGGAGTTCAAGCCGGAACCTAAAGACAGGAACCTAGAGACAGGAACTCAACTAGGGGACCAAGGAGGGATGCTGCCCTTACCTGCTAGCTTGCCCCAGGCCTCCCCAGCTACCTTCTTTATATAACTCAGGACCCGGACCACCTGCGGGGTGGCACCACCCACAGTGGGTTAAGCCCTCCTCCATCATCAATTGGTAGTCACGACAATGCCCCTCACAAACCCATCAACAAGTCAATCTGATGGAGGCCGTTCCTCGGTTGAGGTTTTCTCTTCCCAGATGACTCTAGTTTGTGTCAAGAGCACAAAACGAACCAGCACAGTGGTGCACACCTGTGATCCCAGCACAGGGTGGGTGGAAAGAAGAGGCTCATGATGTCTCACGTCTTTAATCTCAGCCCTCAGGAGACAGAAGAGTCACTGCAAGTTAAGGTCAGCCTGGGTTACAAAGACAATCTGGGCTAGAGAGGCTGTCTCAAAAAACAAACTCCAAGATAAACAACAACCTCCCTAAAGAACAAACAAACAGCCGGGTGGTGGTGGCGGCGGCGGCGCACGCCTTTAATCCCAGCACTCGGGAGGCAGAGGCAGGTGGATCTCTGTGAGTTCAAGGCCAGCCTGGTCTACAAAGCGAGTTAAAAAAAAACAACAGGAGTTCAAGGTCATCATCCTCAGCTAGTGAGTTTCATACCTAGTTAGAGGTCTAGAACCCCAGAGACTGAGGTTTTACCCTTTCTCCAACCGTTTTTGTATCCTCCTTTTTGGAGTTATCTTATCCTTACGTATTCTGATGCAGATCTTGGAAAACAGTAAGTGTGAGCCAAATTCAATCTGATTAACATTGTACAGATGAGAGGAAATCAAATGCACTGTTCGAGTTCTGAGACATGAATCAGACAACTGAATTTTTCACATAATTCAACACCAGATTGTCTTTTCTTAAGGGCGCATTGCATAGCAACAATGAATTTGGGGTTCAATAAGAATGATTCACAATGAGAGCAATTGATAGTGTCAGCAGATCTATCCACTTGCCTGACCGACAGAGTGTAAGACTCCGGGGTTAGGGAGGAAAAACCCTCATCTGCTTATTCAAGCCTTAGTAAGCATTTGCATCTATAATTCATACAATGGACTAGCAGAGGCGGCTCTGGTGGGGAAGAGCTCCAGCCAAGCCCTCATGAGTGAGTGCTGCGGAAGGAACCTGGAGAGATCATGCTCCCCCTGCCCACATAATCAGAGACAAGTCTCTTCATTTCGACTTCAGTGTTTTGGTGGCAAAGAGGAGGTATATGGTTAGATGCTCTGAAGTCCCTTCCAGTTCTGACAATCTGTGCATTTGGAATTCTAATTGTGTCACCAGGGGCAGAATAGTTTGGCATGCATGAATGTCAATATATCATCACTTGTGGTCAGACAGTGTGCTGCCTAGATTTTTGTCAAGTTGACACAAGCTTGGGTCATCTGGGAAGATGGAACTTCAAATGAGAAAATATCTCCGTCAGACTGGCCTGTGGGCAAGTCTGTGGGGGCATTTTCTTGATTAATGATTGACGTAGGAGGGCCCAGCCTACTACGAGCAGTACTATATCTTGACAACTGGTACTAGGTTGTATAAAAAAAGCTGGCTGAACAAGTCAGTAAGCCACAGTTTTCCATGCCCCTGTTTCAGTCCCTGCCTCCAGGTTCCTGCCTTGAATTCCCACCTTGGCTTCCCTTTGGGATGGAATACAGCTGTAAACTGAAATAATTTATTTCTTTCCCAAGTTGCTTTTGGTTATGGTATTTACCACATCAATAAAACCAATCCAAAACAGATAACTTTATTTTGAGTGTTTTGCCTGCATGGGTGTCTGTGCATTCTCTGTGTGCCTTGTGCCCAAGGTGCCCAACTGCAGGTACAGATGGTTGTGAGCCTCCTTGTGGGTTCTGGGAATGAAACTTGGGTCCTCTGCAAAAGCAGCAAGTGCTCCTCACTTCTGAGCCCCCTCTTCAGCCCCAGGGCGATGTGATTCCTATGAAGATTCCTTAGGAAGGGCTGGTGCCTCTATCTTGAGTGACAACAGGTAATAACTGACTTGTGCAGCCGGTTTACTAGTTTAGATCTAGTCTAGGGGACGGCTTCTGCGTCAAGGAAGTTCATCCTAGTGAACTTGGCCTTTTCCCTTTGCATGGCCCCTCTAATTGTCTTGGAGGACACCCATAAAACCAGGCTCTCCATTTTAGGCTTTTAAATAGTGCTTATTTATATATCTACTTATTTGGCATATAGGTGGTGGTGTCATCCAATCACAGTGGATTTAGGTGAGGCAGATTCAGAACTGTGATGCCTCCAGAAGTCAGTCTTGGATGGAGCCATTCACATCTTCAACTCCTCATTATTTCTCTCCTCATCTGGATGCTGAGTGCTTTCAAAGTCTCATCTTTGCAGTCGTTTGTATCTTTAAAATGCTCTATTTCCAAGCTCACCGTGTTTCCTGTTCTTTCTATATAATGAACGGAAGGCTATGAGTAAAGGGTCTGCTGTGATGTGCATGAGAGGCAAAAATAAAGAAGTATGCATACATAATTTAATATTGATATTTGTGTTCTTTAGTTTGATCACAGAGGAAATAGCAGCTGATGTCATAGCCTGTCTTATTTTCCATTTAGATCCCAGGAGGGATTTAGGAGCCATTTCCTTGGACTCAATTTCCCAGACAGCTCTCGTGTAAGTGTTTGGAGTGTACAACCAAACTGGAAGAGAATAAAGTGTTTTCATTTCCATCACTGGGAGGAGTTTATATGTGCACGGCCAGAGACTCACTAATGATTCTTGATTGAGGAATTAACACAATATAAAATCTCAATGAACCTGTGCTTTGTGATCGATAGAAAACTACAGACTTTGGGTACCGAACAGTTCAACTCCTCTATTTAACATACAGGGAAACGGGGCCCCAGAGCAGAGCTAGTCAAGGAAAGAGTGACCTGGGTGGGTCTCTGACCTCTAGTTCTGTATTTCCTCCCAGCTTACCCTGCTACATGAGTACCTTCATTGACAGTTCTCCCCCCGGGAGATAAGAACAGAAAGAACGGGAGCTCTTTCCATCTTTGGAGAGGCAGGGTTTACCCAGCAGCAGGCTAACCCAGCAGCGGGCTAACCCAGCAGCGGGCTGACCCGGCAGCGGGCTGACCCAGCAGCGGGCTGACCCAGCAGCGGGCTGACCCAGCAGCGGGCTAACCCAGCACCAGGCTGACCCAGCAGCGGGCTTACCCAGCAGCGGCCTGACCCAGCAGCAGGCTGACCCAGCAGCAGGCTGACCCAGCAACAGGCTGACCCAGCAGCGGGCTGACCCAGCAGCGGGCTGACCCAGCAGCAGGCTAACCCAGCCCGGGCTAACCCAGCAACAGGCTAACCCAGCAGCGGGCTCACCCAGCAGCGGGCTAACCCAGCAGCGGGCTTACCCAGCCCGGGCTAACCCAGCAGCGGGCTGACCCAGCAGCGGGCTGACCCGGCAGCGGGCTAACCCAGCAGCAGGCTAACCCAGCAGCAGGCTAACCCAGCAGCAGGCTAACCCAGCAGCGGGCTGACCCAGCAGCGGGCTGACCCAGCAGCGGGCTAACCCAGCAGCGGGCTTACCCAGCAGCGGGCTGACCCAGCAGCAGTAGCCCTTTCCTCATTCCCACACCCATGATGGCAGCTGATCTGGACTAGGTTATTATTCCATCCCATTCCTGTCCTTCTTCATTCCTCAGGGGAGGAGCACATCCCAGCACGCCCCAGATGTTGGATGTGTGTGTCGGGGGCATTCCTTTACTCCTACAATTAGGAGATAGAAGGAGGATTAGGAGTTCAAGTCCATCCTCTACTACACAACAAGTTCAAGGGTATCCTGGGCTACATGAGACCCTCATATCAAAGAACTAGAAAATATCGTCCTGAGTGAGGTAACCCAGACTCAGAAGGACAAACATGATATGTACTCACTCGTAAGTGGACTCTAGATATAAAGCAAAGGACAATCAGACTGCAACCCACAGAACCAGGGAGGCTACATAGCAGGGGGGACCCTGGGATGACTGTGACTTATAACAAGTTTTGGTTTTGCCCAATCGCTGGGCAAGCATCAGTGAAACATTTCACTATTAGATTAAGAATTTGTACTGTATCAAGCTGATGAAAGAAAATGCTGGCCGTACTTTCAGGAGGGGAGGCTAAAATCTTCTTAGACTATGGATTAGCCTATAGAAAAATGTCTGCCATAAATCAAACAGAGAAGGGGAAGAAGAATCGGAATCTCACTTAAGTAAAACATAGCTCTCTGAACAGATGAAGATAGGTTTCTTCTGTATCCCAGAATCTGATCAATATTTGTATGTATAATTCAGCTATTATTTGGCTTAAAAGGGCTAATTGGGAAATGTTATCATTTTTACTATTTTCTACAAAGAAAATATTTTCCGGTTTCAA